TGTTAAGAGGTAAAAATAAAAGTAAAACTAACATGCAGCAGATGCGTCTCCGTCTTCATTTTTTTTTTCGCCGGTGGTTCAGTAGATAGTGCCATTTTACAAAAAAACCATAAATCTTGTCAAATCAAGCGCGTGAATGTTCTGTCAGTAAAAACTGAATCCAAACAGTGGTGTCCCTATTGTACTGGAAAGTTCTATTTCGTGATGATGTTCAACAAGATGCTGTTTTATTTCGTGTGCCACGAGCCAAATGGTACCAAAATTGCCAGTGCCGGGTTTCCCATATTAGTGATGTTGCTAGAATTTTCACACATGTCAACCTATGCCAGGCTTTTTGGTCACAACTACATACCTCCAGTTAGTATCCATCGCCTGTTCGATGTATATGCACCAGTTTTCTAGGGACCAACTTAGTAGTCCTCTGCTTCCTCGCTGCAACCATCTATTGTCCATCGGATTTTACTTTCTCACCTATTCGCAATAATTCCTTGCCTGTCGCTCTCGTCTGGAGGCGAGTCTGATTGTTTAATATATGGTTATCATTTCTTCTTTTGTTACTCTGTCGAGAGGGGTGCCCAGTTTTTCACATATGCTTAGGGTTAAAGAAAAAAATGTGAGAAAAAACGGCAAAAAGCAGGTAAGGAATTACTAAAGTAGGTAAGAAATGTTTCGGTCCGTTAAGTCGTATACATTTCTTACCGTTACCACTGTTGGAGCTCGTCAGTACGACGATTGTGGTAAAAGAGTTTTGAATGTTTATTAAGTAAGGGGGAGGGGGGACTAAATAAATTAGATAATTTGTATGAAAAGTAAAAGGCAGAATGGAAAGTCGAAAAAAAGTAAAAGGAAAAGTTGAAGAAAAAGTAAGGCAAATAGTGGATGAAGAAAAAGGTAAATGCGCGTGGAAAAGTATGAGGAATTTGTGTATATGTCCCTCTCCATTTGCACACATTTTTTTGAAAACTATTGAAATCGACGTTCGACTACTTACACATACAGTTTTTCTAGTTTCCCCAGTGGACATACATA